CAGCATCCACAAAGGTTGTAGGAGATTAACTTTTTAGATTGCAAGTACAATAAAATCTGAGCCTTCACAGTTTTAACTAGCTGAATCCACTGACTAGGTATGTATCTCTGCTGAAGTTGTTTATATCCCTGAGTTTCAATGCCCAATCTATATAATGGAGCAACTACTACTACTGATGCCAGAGACTTCCTGATTGGATTAAATGGAATATTGGGCATAAAGTGTATAATTTTAGCACCCAGTAAATACAGATCAAAGGTGAACTATTATTCCAGCCACTTATTTTTCTTATATTTTCTAATATTTATTTGTAATTAACTTTAATTAGGTATGCTTTACATGCAATGAACTATATAATTTTAATTTTTTTAAAAAAATTTCTATTGATTCTTTTTAGTTATATATAAGATTAGGATATATTTTGACATAATCACAAAAGCATGGAATATAATTTTCTCTAATTCAGTCCCTAACACTCCCTTCCTTCCTAATATGCCTCCTGATTCTTTCTCTATTCTACTGATCTTTCTGAAATTTATTTACAGTGTGTTTGTTTTGTTTTAAGTAATGTCCTATGGATATTCTTTTTTGTTATTGTTGTTCCAGGGATTGAACTCAGGGACACTTGACCACTGAGCCCCAGTCCTGGCTCTATTTTGTATTTTATTTAGAAGAGTCTCACCAAGTTGCTTGGCATTTACTTTTGCTGAAGCTGTCTTTCAACTCACAATCCTCCTGCCTCATCCTCCCAAGCTGCTGGGATTGCAGGTGTGCACCACTGAAATGGGCCCTTTGGATATTCTTGGTGTTAGGATTCACCAACATCAAGGATGTACATACAAAAGTTCGATCAATTTTATTCCACCTTTCTTCCTTTTTTTCCTGTCTCGCCTGCATCTCTCTCAATGCCCTTCACAGAGACTAGCCCCAAGGCAGCTTTGGTCCTTCCACTGAGTGTTACATCACAAAATAAATGGTATAAAATAGTAAAATAAGAAAAACATATCTGGGGGACACAATGTTTCACAAAAGTTGCAATTAATTATAATAAAAGTGAATGTCTATATTCTTAAGCACATATTTTATTTGAAATTATAAGAATGACAGTTGGGAAGAATTGGAGCTGTATAAGTCCTATGTTTACATTTTTTAAATTATAGCATAACATTAAATAAAAGAATCAGATATTCATCATCACTTCCAAAACAAAAAGACTAGCAGGTTTTTCACATTTTTCCACACTTTTTAATCTCTATATAACTATTTTGGGGAAAAAATTGCTAAAGAAAGCCTATATGTTATATAAAACACTGACCTCAAGTTCCCAGTTTAATTGTAGAATTTATTGCAACTATAGTTTTTCTGTTATGGCTGCAGGCATTGATAATTTTCAAACATAGGAAAATCCTTTGAAACTTTTAATACTTTAAAGATACATAACCATATGAAGGATCATTTTAACATGCCTTCAGTTTGGAGCTGTATATCTCCAAGTGGAATTAATTTCTACAGTGTAAAAACAAGTACTGCTCTATGGAATACATGAAACAATAAATTGAAGAGTAAATTTTCATTTTTGTAGTTTTTTCCTCTTTCTGCTGCAAAAATATAATTCATACTTCAATGAAAAATGAATCTTGGACAAAAAGCCTGATAATATAAAAATAAATTCAGTCTAATAAAAGGATCTCTCTTATTCTTTCAGAGAAAGCAATAATTATATCTGGCAAGAATAGCTAACTTAAATCCCCCCCACACACTTTAATTCTGCCTCCTGCTGATTCTTCTGTTTCTTTCCACTGCAGTATCCTACTTTATTTTCTGTAGAGCACTTGTCATTACCTTGTTCACTTATGTGTTTATTGTTTGTTTCCTGCTTCCTACTGAGATCCAAGCTGATATGAAACAGCATTGACCCCTGATACACAATTCCTATCCCCTACAAGAGCACATGGCCAAATATGACTTCATTTAATATTTACTGACTAAACAAGTAAATCAAGGAATGAATTAAAAGAAGAATGATAGGGATTTTCCAAAAAAATTGATAAAAATTCTCAGAAGGAGAAAAATACACATGGATAAATATTTTGTCATTACACAACTCTATTTTATTAAATCAGTAACATGCTTTTCACTTTAGAAATATTTTCAATAATTATTGAAACATGAAATTCCTTCAAATTGATTATTGTCATTCTCATGTATTTTACTCTTGTTTTAGCCTGCAAAGCCAATATGATATTTTACATGTAGAGGTTTTTCAATAGACCTCTAGGAGAAAAAAAAATCAAAGAATGAATGGAGATATAACATTTTCGGCAATTTTGCATATTTTTTATAGAAAGAATATGTGTACATTCAGAAGATGTTCAAGATATTTATGTTTAATTTACAAATAGAAAAATATGCATAGCTTTATACTCTAAACTATGCAAACTATTCAGAATTTCTACCAAGCTTACAAAATCACTTGTCAAATTAAGCATTGACTTCCAGTCTTCAGATTGGATAGTAGATGTTAGACAAATAAAGAAAAACACTTAGAATTTAATTTTTCTCTCTTTAAGAATCACAAATTGTCATTTGCCAATATAAACTTCTGTTTTGACAGGTTAGTCTTGTGTTGCAACATGTATTATTATTCTCTTTAATGGAAAGAAAGAAGATAAACTTTTTAAAAAGGAATATTGACATGTTACATATATTTCAGCTGTGAAAATCTGAAAAATGTTTTTATACCCTTCATACTGTCAAACCAGCACAGTAAAGATGTGCCTGGCAGTTGAGCAGCTGTTAGAATTCATCTCTATTACTGTGGCAGAATTCAAAGAATCACCAGTGTCACTGATAAGATACTGTTATCAAAGTCAGGATCATTAGTTGGGACATTCAGGCACAGCATAGGAAGTGACACTTTTTGAAATGAAACCAAGAAACTTCTATATTATACTTTAGTCCCTCCTGAAGATATCCAGGGTAAAACTACAATAATCCAAATGTATCTACTTATGGCAAATGTGCAAGTCTATTGTCCTTCTAGAATTGTCAAGTCCCTATCATCTGTTATCATATTACCGAGAAAATAAGGCAGACTGCCTCTGCCACATCCAATTTACAGCAAATTTTTAACTTTAATTAGGAAACTCCTTGAGAATGTTAAATCATGGTGGATTTGCATTGCCTTAATCAGTAAGCTATTTTAAAAAAAGACAAAAACTGGTATATTTTTCATTTTTGTACTTCATTTGCCACTCATGGAGACTATTAACTTTTTCATCATTGAAGGACTGATTTAAAGTATGGCTGAGTTGAACAAATAGTTTTCTTTTTTCTTTTTTTTTTTTAAGAAAGCGGAGAGGGAGAGAGAGAGACAGAATTTTTTTTTTAATATTTATTTTTCAGTTCTCGGCAGACACAACATCTTTTTTGTATGTGGTGCAGAGGATCGAACCCAGGCCGCATGCATGCCAGACAAGCGTGCTACCGCCTGAGCCACATCCCCAGCCCCACAAATAGTTTTCTTATGCTCGGTTAATTCTCTCTCCTGGTAGACAGGAAAGACTACCATTCATGGCCATTTTTGCTGTAAATATTTTTAATCCATTTCTGCTTTGATTTTTTTTCTCTTTCTTTGTGATTAACTCTGCACCCCATCATTGGATTGACCTTTCTAAAAATATCAGTTCATTCACATTATTCTTCAGAACAAAAGTATTCCATGTTTCTTGCTCCAAGATTTTATCCATACCCTTTACCTCATATTCGAGGCCTTTCATCTTTCAAATTTTTACTTCCCAAATCTCCTTTTTTCACTATTACCTGCATTGGAAACCTCTAGTAGTGACCTACTTCCAGGACATTTGTGTTTGTTTCTTCCCCAAAGAATTTTTTGGTTACAGAAATGTCCTCCAATTACAACTTAACATTTATCCTTTAAAATCTTTCCCAAAGCCTGCCTCCTGCCTAGGAGCACCCTGAATACACTCCTGTTAAGACACCTCCGGCTTCCTGTGGGTTCCCAGGACGTGGACAGTCTCCACTCATCATGTGTTTCTTGGGACAGCTTTGATCTTATTAAGGTAGATGAAGGGCTTCTTAAAGGTGCTGGTCATTGCCTTAAACTCCTTTTATATTCTCTGATAGCTAGTACAGCGTCCTTCATATAATAAGCATATAATTAATGTTCCTTAAATCATACATTTCTAAAATATTCAAGAAGTCAAATGGGCTTATATATGAGGAAACCAAGGTCCAGATTTATTAGGTAACATACTTAATGATGACTGTTAGCTAATCAAAGATCTACTTTGTTTGATAACTAAAGACCTTCTCTACTTATGTCACAGTTATATTTTTAAATATTTTATTGCTTGTTCCTGTGAAATAAGTTACAAAATACACCAATTTCAATAAAGCATATGCATATATGTTAACATGTATGTAACTTCATATATGCATTCATAAAAATAGGTATCAATAAGCTGACTTTTCTTTGGAGACACTAATATTTCAAGGGTAAAACTGGAAAATTTCATTTCAATTATTTGTAAAGTATAAAACAATATGCCAGAATTTGATGAAAATGGGGAGACCCACATTTTTAATACATTCTGAGTGACATGACCAATATTCTAATAAGAAACAAATATTTGCAATGTTCTCTTAAATTTTATTTTACTACATAACATTATAAACACATCATAGTAAATCTATATTTTCCCAGAAAAGATGGAAAATATATTAATTTATTTCTGGAAGTATTTAAAACGTATGACAAAATATAAGTTCAACTTTTAAAAAATGAAGGCTTTAACACATTGGTAAGTGAAAAGAATGGAGACATAATAGTATTGAGCAAATAAAATTAGCAAATATTTTAAATAAACAAGTTGAGCTCAGGATCTGGATAATGTTACTGTGAAACACATTGGATTTAATCCCTTTAAAATCCTCTATCTCTGGACAGTTTGATGTGACTGTGACGCAGAGTTACTTACCATCTTTCAGAATGGTTTCTCGATCTGTACCATCTATCTTCTGCCGGCCAATTAAGAAACTGGTGGTGTCAGCAAAGTAGATGTAATTGGTTTCTGCATGAAAATCTACAGCACGAGGGTTTACCAGATTTTCTATGGGGATCATGTATTCATCAGCTATCTTGGTATTCAAGTCCATTCCTCTAACAATTCCTGGGCGTCCTTTTCCATAAAAGAGGAACAACTCATTCTTCGGTCCTGCAGAAGAAAGATTACAAATATAAACAACTGATGCTTCCTAATCTTCTTTGCACTGCATAATGCCCCTGTTTAATTAACTGGCCCAATTAGCATTTTTTAAATTCAATACTAAAAATTAAACTCTAAAATATGCCAAATGTATCTTGATGCAAGAAGGCCAGCTAATTGCATTACTTTAATTAAAACAGAAATCACTTCAGTGAATGGTTATATTTAGTTAATTATTCTTTTGTCTGTAACTGTCTGTATAGCAAAAACATGACAGATCATTGACTAACTTGTAACTTGTGAAATGGACATTTATTAAAACATCTGGTACATTTAATTTTATAATTCATTACAATCTATCTAGCACTCTGTAGATACTAACTATAGCTCTCATTATAGTTGACAACACTAAAAAGTTCAGAACATTTAAGAAACAATACTTCAGAATTTTCATCTACAGACAGTCAGAGACAAAGAATCATACTCTATCACTAATTTGCATGTGAATATATTACAGTCATTGCAACTTATTCTATTAAGAAATGAAATCAAATGCCAGTTACACCATTACTTTTTCTTCATATTTCAATTAGAACGTTAAAGCTGATGTGCTCTGAAGTACTCTGATGTACAACACAAGCCTTATCAAAAGCAAAACAAAAACAGTCTCTCTCCCAAAAAAACATATTTAAAAATGTAGCTTTTTCTTTTTTAAAAAATGTAGCTTTTTCTATAGAGCAAATTGACTCTTTCAGACTAAAAGGCAATATAAGGCACTCTTCCTATTAGCAGGGTACCCAATCTGGCTTATTCTATGTGAGTAAAAGAAATTAATTATATCAAGTTATATAACATATATTTTGATAACCACATAAAAACTGAGATTTTGAGTGAAATAAATACAAGCATTATAGAAATTTGGGAAATAATAAAAGAAAAAATAAGTAATTACTTATAAATCTTATATCCTCAATACAAACAATATTAATATTTCTTGTACATTTTTCTCTTCAAAATAAATGTAATTGAGAACTAAATTTAAAAAAAATAACATGTCTTTATGTACAGCAAAATTGAGACAAATCTTAGATACCTAACATTGATGTTCAGAATATTATCAGGACATTGAAAAATAGACATGTGCTCCAGATTGACCTTCTTCCATTTCAAAAACTTTTAATATCTCAATTATATTGTGCTTATTATATGTGTTTAAGAAAAAATTTAGAAAATTTCATGGTATTTCCCAGCAGCAGAATGTTTGAATGGTATGAGTGCATTTTATACATCAATTTTATTATACTCTTGATATAAATTCATTGTGGTTGGAGTCATAGCTTATTTTTATTGCTGTATAGTATTCCTTCTTATGGATAATTCAAAATTATTTTATCTAGCTATTTTTTTCTAGTGGATATTTAATTCTATCAACAAAATTGTTCGATTTTATTGTATGATATTATTTAATCCTAGCATCAATTTTGTTTCCCATTGATTCATTCAGCTTTACATTATTCCTTTTTGATATAAGATAATTTACCAAGTCAATTTCAAACTGATTTTATGATTTATCATTATAATAATACTGAGAGAAGTTCTTATTTTCAACCTATAATTTCATACAATTTGTGCACTGGATTTGCAGGGTGAAATATATTAACATCCTTCTCTTCATTTCCCTCACAGATTCTTGATGTCTACTTGATTACAAAGGTATTTTATTTTTAAATAATGTGGGTATGATTTAAAGAAATATTGACACATTCGTAAAATTCTTAACATTTCTTAATATTTCCTGCCAGTATTTTATTAACATACATTTTATTTTATTTAAAAAATGGGGATCTTATGCACCTAAAACTTGAATGATATTTGGTCAAATCATTAAAAAAAAAACTTCAAAACCAGGGAAATCATTATAGGAGATGAAGGGAACTACGGGAGGAAGGGAGGGAAAGATATATGAAAGAATATGACCAAATTATGTCATATTTATGTTTGAATATGTGGTGATCTATCCCACAATTATGTATAATTGTAATACAACAATTACAATTTGTTAGAAACTGAATTCAGTATCTTTAATAAAAATACATTAAAAATACACATTTAAAAAGTTTTAAAAATATTCTTTTCAATGACAGTATAAACTAGTTAGGCAATGTAATATGATCAGCTGCTTACCTATCATTGGCTATTTAAATTCTTTCTGATCTTTTGGTATTAGAAATGCATTTATAATTAACTTTTTTTCAATCGAAGGAAGGATAACTTGTCAAACAATAACATTAGTTTTATGGTCATTGTATGTACTACCAAATGCCTTTCGATAGTAATACAAATTTCTAACTTTATTAGTGATGCATAAGAATGTTTGTTTTACCATAATCATAATTATTAACATTTGTTTTTTATTTTATTTCTAATGGATGTTTTAATTGCTAATTGGCAAACATTGTACATGATAAATTAGGACGTGTTCTGTATCTGTGTGTGTGTGTGTGTGTGTGTGTTTTAAATAGCATCAGTAGCCATTTTCCTCTATGCATTATTCACTTTAAACTACTTTCAAGTTTCTTCTGGTCTCTCTGACTTCCTGTATTATACACAATTGAAAACTAAAAGCTACATTTCATAGACACTTATATAGCTAGGATTCTGGTTTTGACTTAAATAACTGACTCAGATGTACACGCCCAAGTTTATGATATGCAAATGAGACCAAGGTCTTCTTTTTACATTTTTTTTCCTGGCCAGCACCTGCTGCAAAAATTGAACTTTCTACTGTAGTCTTTTCCCATTCCATTCATATGTGGGATGGGATTCCACCACCACCATCACTTCCTCCCCCAGTAATAGGGACTATCAGATGTGACACAATTCTGGAGCTAATTAGAAGTGGTACAAACCTTCTCATCCTGGACCTCACCTAAAATGATCTTGTTTTTGAAGTTAGTAATTCCATTTGTGGTTTCTTGATGCCCTAACCACTGATTGTGGCAGATGTTTCATCTCTCAGTCAGGTTAGTTTGGTTTGGGAAGACCCAGTCTAGATGCTCTCACTCTAGGATTGTCAATGATTTTGCAAATGTAAGCACCTATTTACAATAAAATTGTCTCTGTTGAGCATAGCTAGAATTGTTTGTTTACTATAAAAATAATACAAATCACAAACTACATTAAGGATGATCCAATCATATGTAACTCAGATTTTATGTCCCCCCCAAACATGTATACAAATATATGTAAGTGATTGTTCTTTTGTATGATGTGCCATCATTTTTCAAGCAGCAACTACATGCTTTTAAAAATGATAGACACATGCATTTATACTCAGTTTCTCTTATCTTAAGGATTCATATCCAGAGTCCTTATTTATCTAGCAGGCCTCGGGAACATGAAAGCAGATTTCTTTTTGGAGGGTGAAGGGGCAGGGGTTACTGGGGTTTCAAAAAAGGCACATTTGACCATTGAGCTACATTCCCAGATTTTTTGACTTTTATTTTGAGATAGGGACTTACTAAGTTGCTTAGAGCCTCACTATATTCTTGAGGCTATTCTGGAACTTACAATCCTCCTACCTCAACCTCCTGAGCTAGTGGGATGATGGACATGCGCCATTATAGCCAGCTAAGAGAATTTATATTTTAAGTATTTAATACAAAATTAGAAATAAAAATAAAAAGTGTAAACATGTATACTTTTGTCACATTTGAGCTTCTTGAGTTATTGATTTAAAACAAGTTGTAGTATCTTTAATTCTGACTAGTTATATTAAATTCTAACAAATTAGTGAACTTATCACTGTCTTTTGCCAGTACATGACAAGAGAATGATGAAAGGGGGAGTCCTGAACAAAGAAAAAATGTTTCTGTGGGTGGTGGCACATGCCTGTCACACAGTGGCTCAGGAGGCAGAGGAAGGAGGATCGTGAGTTCAGAGCCAGCCTCGGCAACAATGAGGTTCTAAGACCTTGTCTCTAAATAAAATACAAAATAGGGATGGGGATGTGGCTCAGTGGTCAAGTGCCCCTGAGTTCAATCCCTGGTACCCCCACCAAAAAAAAAAAAAAAAAAAAACCAGAAAAAAATATTTTTCTATTGACAAAGGAGGAGTTGAACTGGATAGTATAAAAAGCAGTCAGCAAAACTTGGAAAAAAAAATACTGGCATTTTAGGGACATTTAAAAGCCAGCAGTTTTTATGTGGACACAATTTCTATGACTGTCATTCTACAATACCTAATTATTAAGACTGCAAATAAAACCTTGTGTGCAAATATTGTTTCAAAAAATCATGTTTAAAATCTTGACTACTTTATTTAAATACTTAAATGACTCTGTCATATTTCATATCTGAAAAAAAGATTCTTTTTCTCATAACTGGGGATTGAAACCAGGGGTGCTTTACCAGTGAGCTATATCCCTAGACCTTTTATTTGTTTGTTTGTTCTTTTTTGGAAATAATTACTCACTAAGCTGTTAGTGAGGCTGCGCTAAAACATGTGACCCTCCTGCCTTAGTCTCCAGAGTCACTGGGATTTTAGACATGACCATATTCAGCTTAAGAAAAATATAACTAACTGATATATATCTTGGGAAAATTTTTGACAATTTTTTTTTCCTTTCTTTTTCTTTGGAGTGGGGATTGAATACAGGGGCAATTTACCACTTAGTCCTAGGTCCTACTAATTTGTCCAGGTTGGCCTCCAGCTTGAAATCTTCATTCCTTAGCCTTCTAAGTAGGTAGGATTACAGGTGTACATCACTGTGCCCAACTTGATAAAAATTTTGAAGGTATTAATACTTAATTAGTACTGTTTTAGTTATGTGAAGTTAAACTTTGAAGTAAATTCCACTCCCCTGTGAGATAAAGCTTTGTTACATGTTGATATCTGTTGGACCAAACAACACATCTACTGTTAGAGCATTATCTTAGTTTTGATAAGAGAAATTCTGGTCAATGAATGAGTATAGCCCATTGACCCGAAAACATTCAATAGGGAATAAAAAACAAATCTTTCTAAAATTCTTCCTTAAAGAACAATTCCCTAAGGCCACTAAGTTTAGTGATTCTACAGTCAGATTAAATTTCAATTCACATAGTCACAAAACTACTTATGGTGAGAAAAAATTGTTAGCATGTCTTTGCAGGAAAATTTCACCTGATTAAAACTCATGTTATTCATGATATGAATGCTGCTAATTAATAGTGAAAAAAAAAAACCTCTATTCTGAAGTGGTAGCTGCTGGCAAAATGTTTGATTTTTAAAACATACTTTTGCATGACCTGCCATCACTCCCCAAGTTGAAGCCAGTCCTGCAGCGACAGGTCCGTGTTTTGTAACTGCTGTGGAGCAGACAGATGTGTGAGCATCCCCCTGGCATTCCATATGGATCCACTTCACATGCATGGCTTCTGACTACAACAAATAGAAAAAAAAACACACACGGGAAATTCTCCAAAGACAAGATAATTATGAACATCAGTATGTCACAACTTGAACAGTGCAAGAACAGGGAATATTAACAAAATTCCATATATCCAACTCTTTAGTACTGTAATCAAATGGAAAACATTGAAATCTCATGGAAGAAGAGAAAGGAAATGTCCAAAATTCTCCTGAGGCTATGTTTTCTAAAGCAATTCTGAGAAAAAAAAATATGTGTTTGTATCAATTTAAGTTGTTCACATGTAAGCAAAATAAAGCCAACATGTCTTTATTACCTGCTAATTGTACTCATTTAAAGGCCAACCACTAAATAAAAACTAATATTAATAATAACACAAAAATACTCCCAGCCTCAGTAATGAAACAAAGAAAGGAATTCCTCTGCAACAATCCATGATGTGAGCAGAAGAAATGAACTAGAATAAATGTGATTCATTCATCCTGTGTACTCTGTTGAGAAGTGATTAGGCCATTTTTTTCTTTTTTAATTGTGAGTCTATTGGTATTTTGAAAACCTTAGTACAAAATGGAGTGAGTGTGTGTGTGTGTGTGTGTGTGTGTGTGTGTATGTGTGTGTGTAAGTATAATTGTCAATATTGGGCACTAAGTTTTCAGAAGGAAATTGAGGAGTAGAAAAATGCCCCATGAGGGAAGAAAAAATGGAAAGGTAGCAGCATATGGACAGGGTCAGAGAAAGAAAGATGGGCCAAAGAGAAAAGGACAAGCAGGAATAATTTCAACAGGATTTTAAGTGTCATTGTGATCATATTTATTTTAGATCAACAGAGTTGAGATTGTGATAACTATCACAATAGCTTTCTTTTTCCCCCCATATTTTTACTGGTGCATTATAGTTGTCCATAATGGAAGGATTTGCTGTTATACATTCATTCATGCACAGAATATAGCAATATAAGTTAGACAATATCACTTTCCAGCACTTTCCTTTCCCAAGCTTCCGCCCTCCCCCTAGTCCCTTTCCTCTAGCAATTTTCATTTAATAATACAACCACTATGCTTTCAATTTTTATCCATTTAGCATGATGTTTTCCTGGGGATTAACATAGATAGCTTTTACAATGTTGAGATATGTTCCTAATATTCCTAGTTTTTCTAGTGTATTGAACATGAAAGGTGCTGTATTTTGTCAACTGCTTTTTCTGCATCTATTGAGATGATATGGTTCTTTATCTTTAAGTCTATTGATCAGATAAATTACATTTATTGATTTCTGTATGTTTAATCAACTGGGCATCCCTGGGATGAACCCCACTTGATAGTGGTGTGCTATTTTTCTGATATGTTTTGTATTCAATTTGTCAGAATTTTATTGAGAACTTTTGTGTCTATGTTCATTAGAGATATTGGTCTGAAGTTTTCTTTCCTTGATATGTCTTTACCTGGTTTTGGATTCAGGGATTGCAAATTGGTGTAGCCAATATGGAAAGCAGTATGGAGATTCCTTGGAAAACTGGGAATGAAACCACCCATTAACCTAGCTATCCCTCTTCTTGGTCTATATCCAAAGGACTTAAAAACAGCATACTACAGGGACAAAGCCACATCAATGTTTACAGCAGCACAATTCACAGTAGCTAAACTGAGGAAACAACCTAGATGCTCTTCAGTAGATGAATGACTAAAGAAAATGTGGTGTATATATACAATGAAATATTACTCAGGAATAAAAGAGAATAAAATCATGCTTTGCAGGGATGGAGTTGGAGAATATAGTGAAGTTAGTTAGTCCCAAAAAACAAAATGTTTAATGTTTTCTCTGGTATAAGGAGGCTGATTCATAGTAGGGTTGGGAGGGGGAGCCTGGGAAGATTAGACAAACTCTAGATAGATCAAAGGGGAGGGAGGGGAAGGAAGAAGGGAAGGGGTAGAAATTATGGTGGAATGAAATGGATATCATTACCCTAAGTACATGTATGAAGACAAAAATTGTATGACTTTCCTATGTGTACAACCAGAGATATGAAAAACTGTGCTCTACCTGTGTCATATGAATTGTAATGCATTCTGCTGTCATATATAACAAATTAGAATAAATTTTTTTAAAAAAACCCACTATGATTTATAATACTGTCCTTTAAAAAAAATCTTTCATTCTCTAACTGAAAAGATGAGTGAAATGCAATTTGAACTACTTTTCTCTGCCAAGAGTATTGCATTTACTTTTCCAGCCTAACATCTCCTCTCATATAATCAACAATTCTGTTCTCACTTTAATCATCACTTTTTTCTTTCTCCATTGGATCGTGCCCATGAAAAGGAAAGTACACTGTTATTAAAAGAAAAAAAGAAGAAGAAGAAGAAAAGAAAAAAAGTCTTTCTTTAATTGAAATTACCATAGGAAATTCTCCAACTAATTCTACATTTCCCTGCTTCAGCCATACATCTCAAAATTACTTATGATCATTTTCTACAACTCCTTTCCTTCCTGTCTCTTTCAATTTTAATGAAATATTCACTTCACCATCAAAACTGCTCTGTTTAGATTCCCATAAGATTTGTGTTGCCAACACTAAAGGTCAATTGAACTTGACAAACTTCTTCTCCGTCTCCTCTTTTGGTTCTCCTATTCTTCTTGACTTATTGTTGAAGCACCCCAGTGTCCACTATTTGGAAATATTTTCTTCTTCATCTATATTTGCTTCCTTGGTGTTCACCCATTGCCATGATTTTAAAAATCAACTATATGCCAGTGGCTTGTAAATGTATGTATCCACCCTAGACTTAATCACTGAAACTGAAAATATGGTCTTGTATATTCAAATACCTCTTTGATATCTCCACTTGGATTTGTAATAGACACCTGAAATAACCCTTGAAAACTGAACTTAATCTTTGCCTCAAGTTTGATCCATACTTAGTTCCTCCAATCTCAAAAATAATTCAGTTCCACTTGTTCTGGCCAAGCCATTGTCATCATCTTTGAATTGTTTTTGATTTATATCCTCCATCCAATCTACCAGGAAATTCTATTGTCTCTGCCTCCTGAATTTCACTACTTCTTACTACTGTACAACTATACTCTCTTCATACAATCCCTAGTACTCTCTAAATTTCCACCGAGCTCTTCCCATAGCCTTTTGTCAATACAGTATTTACTGTGATTCTTCCAAAATGTCAGAGAGCAATGCTTTCTGTATAAGCCAAAGTTTTTACACTGGGCTACAGGGTCTTACTTGTTATTGTCATCCATTTCTGTGACTTCATTTTCTACTTCTCTTTCCCTCATTCATTCTGCGTCAGCCACATAGGTCTCCCTGCTGTTCCTTCAACTATGGAGACATGCTCAGTTCTGGAATTTGTGCTTGTCCATCTCTCTCTAAAGTGCTCTGGCTACAGTTATCCTCATGCATCTCTCTTTCTATTACTTCAAGTATTCATTCAATGCCATGCATTCAAAGAGATTTCCTCTGACTATTCAATATAAAATGGCAAACTCCTCCATCCCCACCTCTGTACCATTCTTTACTTTTCTTTTCTACTGTATTTTCTCTATGGCACTCATTCCCACTATAATATATAATTTACCTAGTTATTATATCTGCTATAATAGGATGCAAACCTTATGAAGGCAAAAATATTTTCTATGTCTTATTCACTGATGTATTCTCAGTATACACAGAATAGATGATCACACAATAGATGATCACACAATAGATGATCCATGAGTAACTAATGAATGAATAAACCCTAATATCGAATTCTTATTAGGTTATCCGCAAAATTCAAAATTGCAACTGCTGTAAACATAGTTATTCAACTCACTTCCTCAATTGTATATATGTTAACATTTAGATAATTCTAGATTATTTTTCATTTGAAGCACAGAAAGAGGATGGAAATTAGAAGTGATTTTTTTTTATGTTCTGTTATTCTATATGTGACTGAGCCTAAGTTGGATTGCTAAAGAGCACAATTAACATGACATTAAAAATAAAGGGTTTGTGTTTTTGAGAAACACTAGAATCATTGCAACCTTAAAATTAAATATATATATATATATATATATATATATTTAATGAACATATGTTAAAGAACTACTGGGATGAGAAATCAGGAGAGCCAATCAATGACTACGATGAACACTGCAAAAAGGTTGCAAGGATGTCACCTGATTTATTTCCCCATAATAATACAAGAAAATTAAAAAGAAAGCATCTGCATTGTCTCCACATACATCACAACTGAAAGCTCCTTCCTGAGTCTAAATCCAGCCATCATTTCAATTCTATGGTTGTAGAAGCGATTCACTAGAATCTGAACAATTTGTCATTTAGACTTGTGAAAGGAGCTCTATTCCATTTTATCAAGCAGACATGCACATTTCTGCTGTCAAACACAGAATTTATGACTCACCACTTTAACACCACACAGGCACAAGGACTATGTCCCAATTCACTTCCCGCTTCCCCCTCCATTATGAAGGTTATGAAGAAGACCTGCAACTTACCTGTTGGTTGAGTTCTTTTTTGATAGATTCGGATTCCTCGAGCACTTTCTGTTTTAATGAATGAATGAATATCGGTGCCATTAAATCTGTTTATCCTTAAGATGTTGAAGTTATCAGAATTGGTTGCATACAAATAGTCTTCAAACACAGTTATTCCATAAAGATGTCTGACCTATAAAGAGAGTGAAAAATAACTATGATTTTTAATTATGCTGCTTTCAACTTGAAAGAAAAATGGATTGTGATTTATACTGTAGAAAATGTCCATGGTATCAGAGTCGAAATATTGTTATTTTTCTTCTCTCAAAGAATTCAACATGCACTAATTTAATTTTTCCCCTCTGGAGAAGAAAACATATGTTAAGGTGGATAAAGTAATTCCACATGTATGGGAGAGAACTTTATTCATGTTTCATTAAGAAAACATGTTTCATTGTGACTTTTCAGAGGCCAATGAGATCCATCCACACTTTCAAGCATTTTTAATAACAAATTATGACACTGATATGTCTATGTATCTATAACTATATCTATATATCTGTGTGTGTATATATATATACATATATATACATATATATGTATATATATACTTCCTGCAAAAGCATAGTCATGCCTGTGAAAGGACTAATGAGAAAGCATCACTGAAGTTTTGTTTTGTAAGTTCAAAATCCTTTTTTTTAAATGAATTACGTTTAGACTAATTCTTGCTCCAGCACGGAAAATAATATATTCAGAAATCACATATTTGCAATAATTGTAAATAAACCATCAATATTTTATTAATAAATTGAATTATTTTAAAAACCTATATATAATAGCAAATTAACTGTTTGCTTTGAGAATCATGCTGTTTGTTTCTACCCACACAAATAAATTAGTAATTACTAATTGTTTGGTGGAGGTTTGAGGATTTATGAGAGGCATGAACATCTTAAAATCATGGAAAACGTCCAGTCATGTAGAAGGAAGGACGTTTGCATTTATTTTCTGGTTAAAAATGCACATGGTAGGCACATAGCCTACTAATATTCTTATATTATACTTAATTTAAAATGGTTCTGGTCCCGAGCTTGATGCAGTTGTAAACTGATTTTCTGTAGTGATTCTGATGTAAATTTTTTGTCACTATTTTTAGACAATATACAGAAACTTTTTTTTAATATAAGCAGATTTGTAGTTAAGAGCATATGAGAAATTACATGTGGTTCATTGTAAGAATACTTATAGGACAACATTACAAAATTTTCAATCTTAATCAGGAAATCTTGCCAATTCTATAGTGTAAGTAAAACATTTGATGTGTTATCTTTCTTTCATACATGGCTCATTATCTCTATTTCTGGTGCTTTCATATGAGGTGAAACTAAAGAAAGACTGTATTACATGTTGTTCTAGGGTCATATTTTATATCTTCATGTTTAGTTTAGACGTGAAATATAAGAATTAACATGGAGAATTGTTCCATGCTAAAAGCAAATAATCATTTTACATGCATATTTTACTCCACAGTACCTGTGTGTGTGTGTTTCTGCCTAGGATATCAATTGTCAGTTTTGATAGATTCGGATTCCTCGAGCACTTTCTGTTTTAATGAATGAATGAATATCAGTGTCATTAAATCTGTTTATCCTTAAGATGTTGAAGTTATCAGAATTGGTTGCATACAATTCTGGTTGCATATAATTGGTTGCATACAATTCATTTCAAACACTATTTAGTGTTTCTTTTCTTTCTTTTTTTTTTTTGGAAATGAATGCTTCTAATGTCACTTTCCACATAGCTGACCACCAGGTATACCTATGATCTGATCTGACTTGGGTAAGACTTTTTTTGTAATAATTGAAGGCCAGCTGAACTGGTGGCTTTGTCATTAATCTCATGCATGTTAGCTCGAAGTATGAGGCTATCATCCTAGGAGTTTCCTTGGGATATACTCACAGTGTTCTCTGCAAAACTGACAATTGGTATCCTAGGCAGAAAGCATAGCTACTCAGTAGACCATTGGTCAAGGTGGAAAATATGTCCACATAATAAAAACTCCATATACACACCTTCCTTCAGAAGGATGTCTCCCATAAATAAGCACATGCTTTCTACTCTGCTAAATATCCCTGTAGTAGTGGGAGGAGAATGAGTTGGTAGATAAACTTCACCAATAGATAGTTCAAATACTTCACAAAATATATCCTTACTGAATTACTTAGTGGCAGACTTAGCATATGTTTAGGGAACCAGAAAAACACAAGTAATAAAATGGGGAAATAAAGGATAATTAAAAACATCAGACATTAAACAAATTAAAGCAATCATGTGGAAAGTCATTTGAAATACTTATTTTTCGTTTAAGGTTTAATTTTTTTTAATGGCAAATACATTTTAAACAGGTCTATCATAGTCATCTTAATGATGAGTTCCTCTAAAGGACATAGTAAAGGTCACTACCTCCAAATATAATTCAAGCTTTTTAAGATGGTTGAAGGTGAGAGAGAAATAACCAGACTTGCTTTTAATATTTTATTAACAATTAACATTTTATTATTTGTAACCATTCAGATTAATGCATTTTTAACCTGTCAAGGAAACAAGGGATCTCATCTTGTTTAGAAAGTAAAGAGATATTTAGCAATAGAACTCTCTTGCATTGCAAAAGAAAATAATGGAATTCACAAGTATCAGCTCCAAAATCTAAGGATCTCATATGAAATTTGTGCACTCATTGGAATGCAACCAAATTTGAAAAAAAGTTTCCTAGTGAATAAGGCCTACTTCTACTTGTAGATTTCCTATAGGTGTTCACTGAGTGTTATTTACAAAATCTTAGGATTCAGCAAGAGAAACTAATAGATGTGAAAAAAATATTGATCTCAGAAACTTTCACAGAAACATCATTTAATTAGGTATTGAATGAGTCAGAAGGCAAAAATTAATCAAACCTATTAAAATAATAAGTGCTTTCTGGTGAGTAGGCATTTGCTTTTGTTAAAATATCTTCAATGCCACATGGGACAGAAGATAGTTCAGTTCCTTAAACTACTTAAATTAGTTTTTAGTAAGTAGGTCATAATATCTGTCCTGTTCCATTACTTTTCTTTCTCACTAGTACAGCATTTTTATCTCTGTTATTTGTTGTTTTGTTTGTTTTTAGTTCAAGGGACAAGGAGTAAGTAGCAACTTCAGTATCATGGAAATATCACAATAGCACTGTGAAAAGAACACTCTCCCATTCAGGAAATACACCACTATTTTATGACCATCCCCCCTTTATACTTTGACTTCATAATAAATTTCAACCTTGGACACTTCATACCTTTTTATAGTATTATGTCATTCATTTCATAACCTTAACTGTGTTTTTGTAGAAGCCTGGTACTTACTTGTCTCCCTTGAACAATGGTATGTCTATTTTTTCCTTGATAGTCCACTACTCCCACATAGTCCAAGTACAGATCTACCCAGTAAACCAATTTGTTGACTAGGTCTAGTGCCAGTGCAGCTGGCTGCTCTGTCTTTGAATCAATTATCCTGGTTCTGTTCATCCCATCCATGTCACATCGCTCCACTTTGGCGACATTCCCGTAGTCCGTAAAGAAAAGTTTTCTGTTGAAAGAAAACTAAATGTTAAAGTGGAGGAGAGAAAAAAGCATATTTGATGGAGCCATCTGTAAAAAACAGAACTTTTCTTTCTAATTTATTTCAGTGGTTACATCTGTTAGCTTCCCATAACCATTTCCATATAATATCACTCATAAACAGAGAAATCTGCTAATGAATATTGCAGGGCATAAGGGAGCAGGTTAACCAACAACTGTAAAATTTCCTCAGAATGAATGACTGTGGTGGGTTTATTTTTGTATTAGGAGAAATGTTTCTTTAAGCCTCACAGAGCTGAGGCACATTCACCACATTCGGTGTGAGCTTCAGAAGTGAGCCAAGTCACCAGGCCAGGGCACGTGAGCAATCAGGCTTTATCTTCAACCTGCTTTTCAAATTGCCTGGTAATGTTTGTCTCCTATAAAAGCTATTATGTGGAGCTCAATGATGCTATGAGTAGTAGAGAATAGCAAACCTGGAATGGAATTAAGCAGATGGAAAAGCAAATGTGCTGTTTGTAGCATTGGAAATTAAACATAAATATCACCCTCCCTCAAACCTATCCTAAATTCTCTCAAATATTCCCAAATCACAAAATCTCATAAAGGAAATTAAGTTCATTTCTCCTCAATTTCTCATAATATATTTTGAAGAAAATGCTGAAAAAGGAATGCTGACCTCTGAGATAATGAATCCCTCCATGCAGAGCTAACAGTTTCTGTGAAAGGCTTAAATGTACCCCCAAATACTTTAGGGTCTAATATTATGTTAGTATTCACTATGTTTAGTAAATACAAATCAATTTCAATTAATCTGACAATATTTAACAAGGTTACTCCTCAGAAGACTAAATTGCATTTGTAAATCAAAGACCATCTTGTTTTGACTTCAATACAATCTCAAGAATAATCCCATATATAATGATGCAGCAAAAGTAAGATTACCTAGAGTACAGAATATTAGATGTTACAAGTTTGAAGAATTAGTTTTTAGTTACTTTACTCAACATTCTTGAAATAACAGTATGGGTCACCTGTCCAGCTAAAAATCATGTTTTATACTTTAATTTTGATTTAGCTCTTTCTGTTTTTGGAGACTTTGACTAATTTTTAAACATTAATGCATACTGCTCTGTGATACTGTAGGCCAGGCTTTGTTATGAGTATGCATTTCCCCCAAATGTTCTTGAGAGACACATTTATCACAATAGATTCAACATGATTTTTCAAGTGACAGTTCTTTCACGTAAAGAGCTTTCTATTGTAGTGAAGAGTAAATAAAAATAAATATGATACCTGCCTGGTTTATTGTCAAAGTAAAAGTTTAAGATTGCTTGGAGTTGTCTCTGTCTCTGTTTCTCTCCCTCTGTGTGTGTGTGTGTCTGTCTGTCTTTCTCTCTCTTTCTTTCCTTCCATTCTACATCTCTACTTTCTTTACCTATAAAGCAATCTGTTCATACCCATGCCCAGGTTTCTGTAAAGAGTATTTCTCTCATATGTTAGATAGTGCCCACTATTTCTGCTACATGAAACTCACTTTCTTGCCTCAGGATACAATGCCTCCCTTTCTGTAATTCTCTTTTCTTGTCAGTCTATTTCACAAAGGTGAAGAGAAGCTGGTATGTATGTAGTTTGACGGGCACAGGAGCTCTGGCACACGATGGATTGTGTGATATACGCAGACTATGTATAGAGGGTGATATATGGCAGGCAATAGCAACTGTCTATGTAGTGTTTAAGAGGAAAAAATGAATCTGGAGATAAAGACTTTTTTGAAGTCATTTTGGAATGACTTTACTGGATATGATCCCAAAAGAAACAAAGGGAAAACTGCCAAGACAAGAAACCTGGAGGCCTGCTATTAGAGAAATAGGATCAAAGGAGATCAGAGGTTAGAGGAGATCAGAGGTTCGAGAAAATAGACTTTCATAAAGGTCCAAAAGAGAAAAATTTTAGGATGAAGGATTAAACCACCTAGTTAGGTCAATCATTTTACAAAGTAAAAAGGAACATTTGTTAAGAAGATATCAGTGAATTTATTGTTTATTCAAGGACTAGTAACTTTTAGTACTTTTTTTGAGAAGTATAGTTATCAAAGGAAAGTGGACTACTTCATGATGAACGGTAAATTCTTCTTCCTACAAATTTTTCAGTGATCATTTAGGAATGATGCAAGTGATTCTCATATGTGTTCTAGGTCATAATAAAACTTGTAATAGTAACTCTGGGTAAGTTTTAGCCAAATATGAA